ACCCTGAGGCAGACTCTTTCTAGGGTAATCTACCCTGAGGCAGACTCTCTTTCTAGGGTAATCTACCCTGAGGCAGACTCTCTCATGAGAGTTGTAAGCACCTTGTTTACCATTTCTCTCCCCATCACACAAATAGAAGTCAGATAGGGTGAAAGGGGTCTGCATGCTTTCTAGAAAACTGAGAGGTTCATTTGCCTGGTGATTTCAACTGCACTCAACAATTATTTGAAAAAGCATCACCTTGTTTAACATATATGAAATATGTCAAGTCATTGCCAGGAGCAGAACATGTGCTCAACAAATAGGAACAAATAAAAGAATGACGGATTGGCCATCATTGGGAACTCAGAGCCGGCAAATTCTGCTGACCACCAGCTGTCCTGTGTATCCACAACAGTCAATAACGATGGCCCTTCCATTCAAAGGGAGGCCAGCACAGAAAGAGACTGAGGACTTTCCTGAAATTGCAACCTGGCCAGAATCATGACCCCCTGGATATGCCAACTAGTAATGCGCAAAGCCACTCTGTCTGGTAATTTCTACTAGATAAAAAAAAGCACAAGTCCTTTCAATCTGAAGAACTGAGGTAACATGCCTTTTGTAAGACAGCGCAAGTATCTGAAAACCAATCACCTGCTTGTCTGGTGACAGCCACTTGTCCTCTTCCTTTCCTAGGACTCACAGGGCTGTTCATCATCTAAGGTTTGATGGGCTATCTGAAAGAAAAACAATGGCCAGTAAATACCACACACACAGGCTAGCCGAACTGTGACTTGTCCTTACAGCACAACATGACTGTTGTTGTCTTGAATTAGAACAGCTGATTACCCACAGTAGTCCTCTGCAAGATCAGGCTTATTAACCTTCCCTAGTACAAAGAGGTCACAGGAAAACTGGGCATGGGGGCTCACACCTTTAGTCCCAGCACTCAGCAGGCAGAGGCAGGTAGGTTGCTGTGAGATGGAGGCCAGCCTGGTCTACATAGTGAGTTCCAGGCCAGCTGGGGCTACAGGGAGACCCTGTCTCAACAAACAAACAAACAGAAAAGAAAAAGAAAGAAGGTGCTAACAAGACTGGTTAATGGTTAACATTTCCTCATAGAAGGAGCTGGAGAGAACCAGAGATTACCCTCCCCTTCCTCCTTCTACCCCCAGCCAGCTGCATGCAAATACTACCCCAAAAGGATTTGGTTTGGAGATAGAACACGGAAGGTTGACTGGGGTGGGAGCTCTCTTGATACTACCCCGGTCACCCATGCTGGGTGGGCTTTGTGGTGATGCATCGTCCTTTGAGTCACCCATGCCTCTATGTGACCTCAAAGTAGTCACTGGTTCACCAAGCTGGACTTGAATGGAATCATTTATCTGGTCTGTCAGTATCCTATGTAAAGCTGTTTCTTTACACAACCCTAGGAAAAATAATGCAACACACACACACAGATTCTTGAAGCACACAACCAGGAAAATAAAAAGACAAGTGTAGACTTCCCCTCGAAGTTTGTAAGTTCATCACCTTCTCGGCAGCAGTCAGAACGTTCTTGCTCAATGTGCTGTCCACTGACGACAGGGAGGAGGCGAGGTCTTTGTTCCTCTTATGTTTGAAAAGGCGTCTCACCACCGGAACTAAAGGCAACAGAAAACTGACAGTAAGTACTGATTGCATCTGGTCCTACCAGAACTGGTTTGGTTTTCCGTGTTTTTGGTTTATGTACCACATTGAAACACGGAACCACGGCTGTACAGCGGGTCAGACTCTGCAGTGTGAAATGCAGGTGGGGATTCTGTCCTATGCCAACAGCGTGATATTTTAAGGGCTTATTTTATTTTAAATTAGGTCTATGTGTGTGTGTTGGGGGGCTGGTATGCCCCTGTGAGTGTAAGTGCCAGAGGAGGTCAGAAGAGGGTATCGGATCCCCTGGGGTTGAGATACAGGCAGTTATGAGCTGACCCACATGGTGTTGGGAACTGAAAAGCACTGTGGGGGAAAAAAAAAAACTAAGCAAAAAGGATCAAACCGAGGGCTGGAGAGATGGCTCATGTGTTGGGGGGCTGGTATGCCCCTGTGAGTGTAAGTGCCAGAGGAGGTCAGAAGAGGGTATCGGATCCCCTGGGGTTGAGATACAGGCAGTTATGAGCTGACCCACATGGTGTTGGGAACTGAAAAGTTGGGAACTGTGGGGGGAAAAAAAAAACTAAGCAAAAAGGATCAAACCGAGGGCTGGAGAGATGGCTCAGTGGTTTTAGAGCACTGGCTGGTCCTGCAGAGGACCTGGGTTCAGCTCCCAGGACCACCTGAAACCCCAGGTCCAGGGCATCCAACAAACATGAGGGTACCTGCACTCATGTGCACACACACCACACAGAGAGACACACAAGTACACAGACACACACAAGACTCTTTGGAAATAACATGCTATCGAGGAAATTAGTCAGTTAAACTCATGTCTTACTCTAAAGTGCTCACATCCATCCATCCATTCATTCATTCATTCATTCATTCATTCAAGAAGTAATTACAGAGTGTCTAGAAAATGCAAGGATTATTTGCAAGGCCTTCTTTCCAAGGAACTTGAACTCTGGTAGAGAAACACCCACTGAATGGCTCCCCTTTCTTTATCACACCAATCTATCAAATGATCATGGGGGGGGCGCTGGAGAGAAGGCTCAGCTAAGGACACCTGCAGCTCTTGCAGATGACCCAGGGTTGGGTTCCCAGCAACCACACTGGGTGGCCCACAATGACCTGTAACTCTAGCTCCAGGGTTACACCTGTAGCTCCTGTAACACCCTCCTCTGGCCTCTATGGGCACCTGTGCTCACAGACAGACACACGTGTAATTTTAAAACGTTAGAAAGATCGCCAGTGCATTAACACACACCATGTACTACGCGCCCTCTCTTCTTGAAGCCCTGGACCACACCACCACCAGTAGTGTTATTTTGAGGGACCGGCTGACGGCACATGCCCAGAAACCGAATACTTCTCTCTCCTAACACCCCTGCCCCTGTCAAATGGAAAAGTGGGATCATGGGAGATTTTCTGAACTGCCCCTGTGTTTTACTACCATCATTTTGTAAGCCCTTCTGATCGGTGTGCACATGAGGGTAACAAATCACAACATGGGCTCATATTAATTACTCCACCACCGGCAGGCTTGATGCCCCTTAGATGGAGAAAACGTACTTCATTTGCTGTCTTTCATTAGGTTGTGCTTTCTGCCTTGTCTCCCAGAAAGTAAAAAAGAAACTTAGAAAGAATGTCTGACCCAGGTGCTCTCTAGGAACACACCCCATCCTGTCCCATCTGCCAGACAGGCTTGACACCTGGGGCTGCGTTGTGTGTGTGAAGGTCCGACCACGGAGATGCAGAAAGCAGGCAAAGACTGACTGGCTCTGACACACTCTCTCTCTCTCTCTCTCTCTCTCTCTCTCTCTCTCTCTCTCTCTCCCTCTCTCATGTTTCAAATTCATGTTGGGCCACATTCATAGTTTGCATAACAACAAAGCTAAAACTCAGCGTCTCTGGCAACAAAAATGCTCCCTAGGTGCCAGACGCCCCTGAAATAATTCATCGGGGCCATGAGCTCCTGTTCCCAGTCTTCCTCTTTCCAGTTTGCATAACAACAAAGCTAAAGCTCAGCGTCTCTGGCAACAAAAACGCTCCCTAGGTGCCAGAAGCCCCTGAAATAATTCATCGGGGCCATGAGCTCCTGTTCCCAGTCTTCCTCTCTGGCTGCCAGCCCGGATGGACCTAAGCACCCGCCGCCCCCTCCTCCCCAGGGAACCGGCGGGCTGGCCAATAGGGCTGCACAGCTTGGTGGAGGGGTG